TTTATTAAAACCTTGTAATTTGTAGAGCAGAGTCAAAAAGAAAAAGCAGTTTTTGGTCTTGTGTAGTGGTACAAAATCCAGTGCTTCTGTCCATCCAGATCTGAACATAGTTATGAACAAGGAGGAGAACCCCTCTATGCTTCCATGTGGAGTGGAAAGGCTCTTCCCAGGTATCGCACATAGGACATGTTAAAAAACATTCAGACACACAAGTCAACGTGGCTGTTGGTGATAGGGCTTAGAGGACAGGGTGGAGCTCTCAAAGGTTGGATTTGGTGATTATTGGCGGTCTTTTCCAACCTTAATGATCCTGCGACAAACCAGGGGTTGGGATTAAATCCTAGAGGAGGGGGGGACAGGGAGACAAAACATTCCCCACTGGATGTGTTACCTTGCAGCTCTTTCAGCAGGAGCTGTTCTGGCTCCCCGGCTTGTCTGACCACAGTGCAGAGCCAGGGGCACTGGGGCACAGCAGCCTCCCCCTGCAGATGTTCTTCCCTTGCATGGGAGCTGAAAACATTCCCAGGAACAGCTGCCCTTGGTGCCTTCAGCACAGCCCGGGACTGCCCTGCCAGTGCCAGCATTCGGTGGTGTCAGAAGAACCTGCAGAGTTACAGAGAAATAAACCCGAAAAGCCTGTTTGCCAAGGCAGGTACTTCTGGCACAGCAGGGAGCTGCTCCCTGAGTGAAACTCCCAAGAGGTTCAAGGAACAGATCCCACAGCTGTGGCACAGGGATTGTGCAGAGGTTCTGGTGTGACCCAGCACAGAAGCATCTTTTTACTGCATGCAAGAAGCACCCCCACCCCAGTTAATTCTTATTTAAATTCTGCGCAAATCAGTTAGAAAAGGATTTTTGATTGCTAAACTGGAGAACTGAAAAGATACAAACAAGCACCTTTGTAAGGATCATTCCACGTGTCTGCCACAGCTGAGGAAATCCCCTCTGAAAGGTAGGTGATGCTGTTTCTGGGACTACCAAGAACACAGGCAGGTCTTTCGTCTTAACTGTTTAAATTTAGAAATTGAAGTGCTTTTGATACCCTAAAGAAACACACCAAAAGGTGACTGTTCTACAGACACATTTAGGCACCCCTTGGTGAAGCAATACAAGAGCAACACACTGCACACACTCTGCTAGAGCATTTGCATATAGGTAAATTAGAAAAGGCATTACTTGTTTTCCCATTTCATCTTTTTTCTTTTTTTTTTTTTTTAATCTTGTTCATTCCACTTGCAAAAGATACAGGAGATATCTCATTTTTTTTAAGGACAGGTTGAAATGAGGGAGCTGGATGTTTTGGTAAATCATCACAGGGACAGTGCTCCAAATTGAGGACACAGATGTGAGGGAGGTCTGATTGCTTTATCCCAGTATTTTTGAGAAGGAAGCCTGGAATTTTGGCTTTGGAAGGCATTTGCTTGCAGGTAGCTGGGTGGTGTGAACTCACCACAGCAGGGAAGGTGAGTTTGGCACAGCAGCTGGAGATGAAGTGAGCAGTAACACTATATCCCACCACCAAGAGATGTTTTCCTTTTAAAATTCAAAAATCCTTTATTTGCCAAAAAAGAATATAAAGTAAAAATACAAAGAGCAAACCATGCCACCACAAAATGTCTCCAAAACATACTTTTACAAAGTATGAGAACCTTTATTATTATCATTAAATACTCAGTTTCTAACCCCCTCACCCAGTGATACAGTGAGAAGATGAGCACACAAGGGGAAGCTCTGTTTGTTTTTCTTACAGTAGCTTGTGCTCATCCCTGAGGTTCAGTTTTGTTTGCATAGACCTAAGATACTGATCTAGAGACCCCAAATCCATACTGTTACAATGATATTTCCGTGAACTTAGTGTTGGTCTTTCAGGACTATTTTGCTTTTAGAAACTAAGCCCAGTACCTTGGTGAGGGTGTCTTGAGTCAGCTTCATTAAATCCTTGGTTCAGGAGAGCAGGAAAGCTTTGCAATCCCTCTTTTGCTGCCCATGTCTGTTCTGCAGCACTTGCCCCTCGGAGGCAGGAGGGGAGCTGGAGCAGTGCCCAGGGTTCACTGCCAAAAACTGGGATGCAGCAAGTACTACTAGAGAAAATCCAACTAGTACCATTCCAGCAGCAATACTGAGCCATGCCTCCCATCTTAGTACTGCAGAGAGAAAATATTTGTGATAACAACAGTAAAAAGCAAGGGGTTTGTAAGAACACAGGGTTTCAATTTGCTAGACAAAAGCAGACTAGAGAGAACAAATAAGTACAATCGTATTTTTATCATGCAAAACTGAATTTTACTTGCTTTTATGACTACTGGTAAGGAAAAAGCCTTCAGTGTGAGCTGGATGTGCACTGAAAAATGCAGGATGTGTCCTTCCCAAGATGCAACATCTGAACTGGCATTGACATGGAGTCAGGAGGCACAGCCCAGAGCCAAGGGACTCCTGCAAACCTTTTGGGCAGTGATCCTGGGGCTGCTCCATTGCAGCTGAGCAGCTCTGCTGGCTGGACACAAGCACCCTTGACTATCTCAGGAAAAAGAAAGAAGTAGGACAGAAGTTCCCAAATTTACCTCACTTAAATCCTGCAGAGTTACAAACCTTCCATCCAGAGCAGCTGTGGATAGGGCTAAGTCACAAGTGGGGTGTAGAACACCTCCTCTATTAATGCACATGTGCCTGCTGAATTGTAGTTATTTTCAAGTACTTTAGGGACAGAGAATGGATTTCCGTTCCTGGAATATTACTGCAGATTTTGCACTGCCACCACAGTGGCTTCTGCAGCTTGTCTTTCTATCCACATAGAATGCAAAATATTTGCTGTATATTGGGGGGAGGGGTGTTGTATTAGCTTTTGTTGACCTACCAGAAAACATGGATTGGGTTTGGACTCACTCTCTGTTGTTATAGCAGTACTGGATGTCTGCTTGAAGGAGAGAGGGGCTGGGTTGGGGCTCAGCAGAGCAGCTATCAGCTTCCTGTCTCCATTTATTTAACCAAACCTTGGGAAAGCAGCTGGCGAGTTTTACCAGACTCTGGGTTCTGACTTCTGCAAAGAAAGGCACCAGTTCAGGCTGGTTGGGTGTGAGGTGGGAGCCTGAATTCAGGGATGAGTTGAATTAAAGGCCCTCTGCAAAAGGCAGATAAGAAGGACCCTGAAGTGGTGGGAGACTGAGGCTTTCCAGAACAGGCAAACAAACCACTGCAGTACTGCTGCTGCTGGAGCACCATGAGGGTTCCATTTCAGCCTAGAAGGGAGTCAGGTTCTTCTTGTTCCTTTTGAGGAATCTTAGTCTTTGGAGTGATGTAAAGGGACATCAAACTGAACGGCCCCTCCGGACTGTGGCAGTGAGTGGAGGGTGAACTCCTGCTGTGCCCAGGTTCTTCTCAGGAAAACATGGCTGGAGCTGGTTACAAGCAGCAGCTGTGGGACCTCCATCCTGTGTCCATTCCTGCAGTCAGTTCCTTGGTGGTTCTGCATTTGGGCATTTATGGAATCACCCCTGGGGTTTTCCCTTCAAGGTTATGGCAGTGATGGAGATGGGATCCAGATGCACTATGTGCTTGCTGCATTCCAGGGGTTTGTCTTGGTTTGGTCACGGTGCTCTCTGCTTCATCTGCTACTATGGGATGCAGGTCACTGGCAGGGCCTTTGCTAACAATGTGGGCATCCAGAAGTTTCCCAAATTACCAAGTCCAGGATCCTGGGAGATGTGTATACATCTGGTCAGTTCAACCTGAAACCTTTCTCTCTTCCCGAGCTTGATTTGGGAGAGTTCTGACCCCAGGGAGGCAGCAGCACATCCCCCTGGGCAGCGGCAGGCAGGCCTTGGGCTTCAGAGGCTCCTGGAAAAGCCCAGACTGCACTGGAGGGATCAGCCCGGTCCTCATTTGGATACTGACCCCTGGAGGCACTGCAGGGATCCAGTCCTGTCCTGTCCATGGGACACACGAGTTCTGCAGTGCCCGGGTGTGCTCTGCCTCCAGGGAGGGCAGCAGGGGCCTGCTGGGAGCAGGGACAGGCATCTCCCAGGAACCCTGGCAGCAGGCACAGCTTGAGGCTCTCACAGGGACATAATAGGAGATACAGGGCATACACAGCAACCCAGCATCACAGACTGGGAACAGCTGGGAGGGCTCAGATCTGTCCAGCTGAGAAGGTAAGGCCCAGACCTACTTGTACATATACGAGGGCTAAAATTAAGACTGTTCTAATCACCCCTGTGCTGAACCACAGTCCCTGCAGGCCAGAAGGGACAGCTGCAGCAGCAGTGTGTGATGAGAGCAAAGATATCACACTTGATTCTAGGGGGAAAGTCCATTTAATTTTGCACTTAAAGCAAGAATTCATTAGTTACAGCATTTCCTCCCTGAGCCTGGGAGAAAAAGTAATTTTGGAAATAATACAGACTAATTCCTTTACTAGTTACAAGAGGGGGTTGGTTTTTTTCTTCATTATCTCAGCTTACTCTCTTGGTTAAAGAGGTTAAAGAAGGCTACAGGAGAGGGGAACACAGGAATGGACGGAACTGGTGCACACCAGGCACAGCAGTCTCAACACAGTATCTGAACAGCAAAGATCTGTATTTGCTGTAAATACTCCACAAAACACTTCTGCAAAGTAGCAATCTACACAGACAAAGCTCTGGCCAGAGGCAGATCAGCACAGGAGGGGACACAGGACTAGAACAGGTAACTCTGTCTCAAATTCCTAGAGAACATGATGTGGTGTAGTTCTGAAACTGCTCACAGATCCACAGCAGTGAAACAGTCCAGCAGCCAGTGGAAGAGCTGGGGGCAAAGGGACTTCATCTCCCCATGCACAGACACGTTCCCTTTGTTTCCGGGACAGGAAGGAAAAAAAGAACTTCCCTGTGACCTGTGTTTTAAAAGATTTCTAGACACATATTGAAGTTAATTTGGCAGCTCCCTTGTCAGTCCTGGTGTAAAGCCAAGGGGACAGAGTGGCACAGCACAGAACTGAGAAATGACCACTATAGATGTTGCATGCAGCTGTTACAATCATTAGATGCTGGCATTTATTGCACATCTGGGGACATTACAGAATTTATATATAAATGAAACAAGGTGCAATCACCATTTTCAGTGAGTGTGCACAATAACACATTGTAAAAAGCCTTTTCATAGAAATTACCTTATTGCAATTACACAGGAAGACAAAAAGGGGTCTCAAGTTTCAGTGTACAAAATTAAGCACATTGTTCCAATGACAGATTTAAGGAAAACCCCCAAGTGCCTTGGGACTGAATGCTATCCAGTTTGAAAGACATGGGTTGTCTTCCACTTCTCTATCCTCAGAGATCTGAGATAATTAGCTTGTCTGACTTGTCTCCAGTTTCAGGGGGAGGTAAGACTTCATCTGTGTCATAGTCATCTTCACATGATCTGCAAAGAGAAAAGGTGTGTCTTTAAAAGCTGTATTTTGGTTTTCAGGGGTGTTATTTCAGTGGTTACTAAGTCAGGTGGCTAAAATGCAGGAGCATGTGAGAGATGAAGCTTGAGGAGGAGATTCCTGAGGCGTGGGGAAGAGGGTGGGAGTCATCAGTACTCTGACAGCAGACATGGATCTGTGCTCTCATCCAGCCTCATCTCACTGGTGTTCATCATTAGAAAATTTGAATCCAGCTTCAGTAACAATTGTCAGGAACTCCCAGAGCCTCAATAGTTCAGTGTAGAAATAAAGTAATCCAACCACAGCCCTGGGCCCCAGAGGAGCCTTGGCTCAGAAACACCTGGTTCAAAGCATCTTCTGGCTGAGGTGTGTTTTGACAGACACAGAACAATTGTGGCCATGCTTTCATGTTCCTCTCTCCCTCAGTCAGAAGTTTGATATCCAGGACTGAGCATTTATGGTCTGAGGAGGTTTGGTGGGAATTCCCAGCTCCAGCTCACTATCCAGGCTGGCTGGGTGCCATGACCTGCAGCACAGGATATGGCTCAGGGCTCTCAGCCCATTCCTAGTCCCAAGAAATGATGTTTTTAAGATGTTTCCCTTTGGTCACAGCATACTATGGGTTAGTTTTGCAGGGTTCCCAAGAAATTAAAAGTTCTTCCTTTTGTTCTAAAGCAAGGTTGCTCAAAGGAAATGCTGGAGCATTTATGCTCCAATTGGAGCATTTGTGCTCCAATGGCCAGGATAGGAATGGCTCTTGTGTTCAGTGGTAAACTGTGCTGCAGAAATGTGAACTCCTTTGATAGCCCAGCATGGATGTGCCAGGAAGGAACAGTCTACACCCTCCTGTGGTATTTTTCCTTTGGCTAACCCATATGCAAGCACAGCAAACCCTTGGGAGGCTGTCAGGGTCTGTTCCTGCTGTAGACAGGATGCTCCCTGTGTGCAGGGGAAACCAACCCAGACATTCCTGGAGAACACTGTCCTCTCTTCCATAAGGAAAGCACCTGCTTAGTAATTCTGCCACCTTCTGGATTCTTGCATAAGTGGAAGAAGGGAAACAATGGTCTGGTCTGGATCCTGCACCAAACCTCTTCTGACCACGTGTGCAAGGTTGCCAAAAAATGTGCAATTTGCACTCTTCTTGCCTCAATGGTGCCTGTGGGGGCTGTGTTGCCCTGCCTCTCCCATCAGGAATGGATTGGGAATGTTTGCAGGTGCTTCAGCTTCTCTAATCTCTCCTTGGTTTAAAGGATGCAGCTGAGGAAAACTTTGTATTGCCATTTGAATGCTGTTCTTAGAACTTTCCTTTTGAATCAACTTTTCCTCCAATTCTACCACCTTTTGTTAGCCTTGTCCCTTTCTCTCCTACAAATGGAAAACAACTTCTTCCCTGCACTGCACAGTCACCAGGGGAATGGGCAGCTGGAGCTCCATTGTAATCTTTTTCTTCAGGCATCTTTTGCTTCTGCACTAAACCTCTCATATCTGCTTCCAAAGGACTTCCCACTGTCCTTTCCCAGGGAGTTATTTTTCCACTCTACTGGTTTGCTTCTTAAGGCCCAACAGTGCCTGCCTTTTCCATTTTGGAATAAATGCTTTCCACCTTTATACCTAAGGAACATCTCTGGGATGCTTTTGAACAAGATTAGCACTAAAGGTAGTCAATCCTTGCTCTCCCCCCAGGCCAGTTTCAGAACTTCATCCCATGAAAACAAATATGGGCTTGTGCAGGTTAAATACCCATTCCTTAAACTCAACTGTGTCAACTCTAGGCTGTTCAGAGGAGGGAAATTACTCCAGGGAATTTTTTGCCCTTCCTTCTGGCAAACACACATTTTGTCTCTGGGTGGTTCAACGATATCCTTGTTTCCCCTTTCCCTTCCTCTCACTGCTGGGTTCTGGGAATGGAGCAGCTGAAGAGAGACAAGAACAATGGTCTAAGCTGCCTCAACCAACATCCTCTGATCCTATGCCTCTGTCTCCCGTCTCCACTCTCAACAGGATGCTCTGCATTGTGTCCTGGCTCCCTGTTGCTCAGGGGACATTTTCCCACCAGCAGCTGATAAAAGATTCTCTTCCTCCTTCCCTTCCTTCCCTTGTAGAAAGATCTCTTTCCCTGAAGGCAATGATGGTTTCCATGTCCCTCAGCTAGCTGAGGCTGAGTTCTGGGACAAGAACCAAGCACTGCTGCCCTGCCCTGCAGAGAAGGCTTGGCTTGCTGCAAACCAAAGCTTGTATCTGCATCAAAGGCTTGTGCTGGCCAGAGCCAGCTGTTGGTGCTGCCTCCAGAGAGCAGTGTGAGTATCCAATCCCCAGGGACAGCGTCTCTGTGGAATCCCACAGAGGTCAGAGAGCAGAGTGTGGAGCGAAGAGCTCAGACCAGCTGAGGCTTCCAGTGAAATGTAATGCTTTGTTGTTGTCTCGAGCATGACAAGACCTTCCTCTTATTTTTGGTGACTGCAGCTCTCAATTGAGTCCAGCATCCTGGAAGTATCTGTGGATACTGGGAGTATCCACTGCATTGATGAGATTCCCATTTTGGGAGCGGGGCTCTCTCCTGGGCATGCCTCAGCCAGCTTTAGACTGACTGGCTTTAGAAACTTTCCTTCCAGAGAAATAGGGACAGGGCTAATCACAGTAGTGGGACACACTCATTAATGCATCTGTGATTGCTGAATGATGGTTGTTTTCAAATGTATTCGTAAGACAAAGACCGTATTTCATGTTCTGCCAGCTAACTTGGCCAAAAATCTTCCAGTCTCTCACAGAGCTCACCAGGAATTGTCTTGGTTCTCTCCTCACTCCATTTTTGTCATCCTCAAAATACAGCAGAAATAATCTATGTGCAAAAACTCAATGGCTCTTTCTGGCAACTTTCTCTGGGCATCCAGCTCTTTGTTTTTCTTTTTCCTTTCTTTTTTCCTTTGTGGTCTGTTGCTATGCTCCACAAATGAGATCTAATCCTGCTGCCATGACTACAGAGCTTTTCAAGGGCTCTTAAAAGCTAGCAGCCAGGTTGCTGACATGCTCTTTGCAGGAAGACACAGAGCTGCTTCAGACCAACTTCAAAAATCTGACATCACCTGTCACTCTTCCCCTGGTTGTGGTGACTTTGGGAATTCATGGTCCTGCATGAAGCTTTAATGGCAGCCTCCTGTTTCTTTTCTGTTCTGAGGACACAGGTGTTGCAAAGCAGCTGCAGGGAATGCAGCAATTTCATCTTCCATCCTGCCCTACCCCACCTTCCATTGTGAAGGTCAGAGAAAAGGCCAGGCAGCTCAGAGGGGCTGAGGGAACCTGCCTGTTGCTGTTTGGATGCACAGGCAGAGGAAAAGCTCTCACTAGCTTTGCAAATCTCTGTGCCTAATTAGTAGGTGCCACTGTTATCTCCAGCAATTTCCAGTGTGGGAAATTTTGAAAATGATGCAATCTTCTCAATACTCTACTGGCTCTGTAAGTACTGCTTAAGAGTAGATGCAATCCTGAATCAGGCAGGATTAACACAGGGTAAGTTCTTTGGGTGGTTGAAAGAAATATCCTCAAAAATATGTCAACACAGACACAAATCTAAAGAAAGATTAGACTGAGTCTCCATTTACCTGCAGGAAGCCCTTGCCCACAGAGAAGTTCTGGAACAACTAGTCTGCCTAAATTCACTGGCTAAAGATAGCTGATGTGTCTGTCCAGAATCTTACAGAAGGCTGAAAACTGAGTGTAGGTATTGAAGAAACCAAATCTTAAAAAAAAAAGTCTCAACAAACATAGTAAATTAATGAAATATTGAAGTGTAACTTACAAAGAGCACAGACTAATATACAAAGTTGGACTAAAAGTCTCTGCTAGGCATAATAAATAAAACAGAGCTACAGCTTCTAATCTATGACAGCATGACATGGTCAATACATGGCCAAGACCAGCAAAAGTCTTTTGATCTCTATTTTTGTATGGTGGCCAAGACAAATAGGCTTTGCCTTTTTTGCCCCTTCACAGATGTGTGCAGCTGATCCAAGTGTCTGCCCCCCAACACTTCTCCACTCCTGCTGCAGGAGCAGCTGTCCTGGGCCTCACGTGCTCCAGAGTCCAGCCCAAATGCTCACCCCTCTGCTGGCAGTGGCAGCACGTGCCCCTGCCAGAGCCCAGCTGGAGGCAGCCATGTGTGCCCAGGGCAGTGCCCAGGGTAGTGCCAGGGCCGTGCTCACCCCTCCTGGAGCTGCTCATTGCCAGACTCCTCGGCCACCAGGATCTCGTACTCCTCAGCCGCATACCTGTCCCAGTCTGAGGGCTCGGGGCTGTCGCTGTCCATGTCCTAAAAAGATCACACAGTCAGCCTCCAGGGAAGTAAAGAATGGATGGAAACAGCCAGGCAAAAATTGCCTTAACTGAGAAAGTCACAACCCTCTTGGAGTGCTTTAACATCTGCACATAAAGGACTATGAAAAAAAACCTCTCAGGGTCTGTAAAGCTCAGCATGTGATCTGAGATGCCAACAAGCTGTATCTGCTCCACTTCAAAAATGCAACCACCACACACTTGCTGTGCTCTAGCTCAGTTTGTGCACTCCATACAGGACAGAAGAATTCAGTGGTTTCAAATCTGTCCATCAAAGGCTAATTGTAACTGATATTTTGAGGGACTCTTTACAGTTTGCTAAGTTAGGGCAGTTTTAGAGAAGATTACAGAACACCTCCATAAGTACCTGGCACTCTGCCAGTTACTACAGGATGGGGATAGCAAGTTATCCCCCTGGTCCCACTTGACTGCTTTTATGATGATCCAGTTTCAGCAAAAAACAAACCAAGTGGTTCTGTCTTGGGATGTATTTAAACCTTGAATCACGGAACCACAAAGTTTCTATTGCAGATTATGTGGGAACAACTGTGAGGGAATCAGAGCTGGTTTTGGCAACCCCTCCACTTTTCTGTACTTTGAGCAGGTAAGAGGCTTCTGGGAGACAATCAATAAGCTGTACTCGTGAAAAAAAGTGTTATTTTACTCAGCTGGGTTTTCCCTACATCCAGGAGCACTCCAAGGATGAGTGTGATATTTTCTTATTTAGAAATAAAGGTGATTTATACCTTTTGCACTGCAAAGGGATCCCTTTGTTCATTGTCCAGATATTTCTCTAAATTGAAGAAGGTGTTGAAGAACACATGAGCCATTCTGCACCTCTTCAGGTCTCGCAAGGTTACTCTTCCTACAGAAAAACCCCACATGGTTGTGTTACTGAGGTCTTACAAAGGTTTTAATTGTAACACCAGTAGGCTTCAATAGCACAGAATTCCTTCCCCAGTCAGTCAAGGATTTTAACATTATTCAATAAATGGGTGTATTGATTAAGCTTAAATATCACATGCATATGGAGGCCTTTTACATTCATGTGAAATATGAAGGCATGTGAATGGGGATGGTTCAATTTTACAGTGTAGACTGTCAGCACATCCCACAGCTGGAGCACACAAGAATTGTTGATTCAGTCCCAGGCAGTTAATTCACAAGTATTTCAGCCCTCCTGATGCACAACATTGCAGCCCAATGTGCAGTAACTTCTGCCCTGCGACTCTCACACAGGGCTCTGCCTGTAGATAGGTTTCACAGTGCCTTTACCTTCTCAATTCCCACAAATGAAAGGGAATGAAAGCTCTGCCTAAACAGGACTTACCTTCCCTCTCTGGCTTAACGAGGTCCAGCATCTGGCACAACAGGTCCTGGAAGGGCAGAGGCTCTATGCCCATCACCTCCATGCGCTCACACTGCTCCTCATAGAAGTATTCCAGCTCGTACATGGACAGCACCCCGTCCCCATCCAGGTCCATGCAGCGGAACCAGTACTCGATGCTGGGAACACAGCAGGGACACTGCAGACTGCACTGGGACATCCACACAGCAGAGACTGCAGCACTGCACGTTCTCCCTACCCACTCCCAAAGCTCTTCTGCCACAGCCTGGCATAAACCCAGGGATGACAAGACACATTGGGAAGGGTGAGGGGACAGGCCAACACCCCAAGCACCTCCTGAGTCTCCCAGGTGGCTGTGAGCAGCACAACCACGCTCATTACCTGTCTCACCTGTACCCTCTGTTCACTGCGCTGCAGCCCAAGGGGTGATCATGTAGGGCAGAGTCCCTGCTTGACCCACCAGCAAGAGCTGGCCAAATAAAGCCAGCTCTGAGCTCAGGTCACTGCAGGGACCCTGGTGAGGGACACAGCAGCTGTGTCATGCACTCATTGGTTCCTTTATACACAAGGCAGAGCTCTCGGCAGCTGCACTCTGCATCCCTCTTCCCCTCTGGAGGGTCCAAGCCTGCAGTTCTGGATTCTTCTCTTGTTATGTGCAAGATTCCTTGTGCTAACACTCACATACACACCTGGATCATCTCCAGCAGTCTCCTGGCTGTACAAACCAGGCCACAGGCAGGTTTTACAAAGTGCCACAGTGAAATTTCCCCACAAACCCTTCTTACACACCCATTCCACCTGTGAAGGGATATGCCCAACTGCTGCCATCACCTCAGGAGTGTGTGCTCAGAGACAGTGCCTCATGGCAGCAGGTCATCAAACACACTGGTGATTACCAAGACATTAAAAATTACAAGAAAACTCTGCTTCTATAAAATTTTTCCTCAAGAAAGGCAAATGATTTGACCAACCATTACCAGTAAGATGTTTTCTTCCTAACAACCTCCAGACCCCAAGCTGCTCTCTCCTGTAGAAAGCGGTAAGTCACAGAAGTTTCCATATCTTATTTGCTCATCTCAATGATTTTACTAATCCACAGAAATCAGTCTCACCTTGTAGCACTCCTTTTGTCTTCCTCTGAAATCAGGAGCCACACAAAATCTGCATAACTCATGCGCCCTTCCTTTTGAACTTCAGTGCCTCTAGAAGACATGGCAGAAAAAGAACAATTAAAAATCACTAGGCCCCTAAACACTCAGTATGTCAAAGATATTTTTCAAATTATTAGCGAGAGAAAATGGGGCACTGTCACCTATTTAGTCAGTACTCCCTGCACCCTGCAGCACCAGGTACAGCATTTGCTACCTTTTATCACTGCAAAGCTGAAGCTCATCTGCCACATCCCCTCCCACAGCACATCCCTTTTCAGAGACTTCAAAGCAGTGCTCTGCAGCTATCCCTGTGCCATGTCTTCCAGCTATACCCAGTTAGCCCATCCTATGGGATTTTTATTTTGTTTTCTTAAGTTACCCACAAGTCTCACTCCATGTTCAGGCAGCTCCAGCTGGAGCACCCTCTTGGAAACCATTCTGATCAGGGGCATTTCTAAGAATAATTTGTATTTCTCAGCCTGACAGAAACTGCCTTCCCTTTTTCCTCCAAGCAGTGTGCTACTTCTTACCTCACCACAGCACCGCTGAATATCCGCTCAATGATCCTGTTTGACAAAGCTGGAAACAAGGAAAACACGGAGAAAGTGAAGCTACAGCTCACAGCAATAACTACAACCAGTTGTTCATGCTGAATCCACACAAACCCCCTTCCCATTGTTAAAAGGCTCTAACTACACTGCCTGTCTAACCACCTGCTGTTTAGCAGCATTTTGTAAAACCCCAAGATGATTCTCCCAGTGTGTCTGTCTTTGTATCCTTCCAATCACCACACCGCCCCACAAAGATGGCAACTGTTATCTGGATCCTTGGAAATGGGCACGCTACTACTACTTTGCTGCAGTAGGATTTGTCACATAGAAGGAGACTATCCCAGTGTGTACTGCAAAAGAAGTTAAGTTATCAAGCAAAATGACACATCAAATCCCTACAAAACACTTTTGAGGAAAGGATAGGCTGTGGCAACCATGCTGCAAGGAAGACAATGAAACACCAGCATAAAGGTGAGGCTCTGCCAGCCAGGAGATATGTGGGATAGATTGTTATGGCAGAGCACAAGCCAAGCAGCAGGTACCAGCTCTGGACAGGATTTGCAGAGTGACCTCACCACCCCAGGCAGCTGAGCCCCACCTGGACTCCTTCTACACTCCTGTGGACCAGGCACGGTTCTGGCACTGCAGCCAGGCAGACCCAGCCTGCCCCACCCCTCAGGTGCCCTGGCACAGCTGACAGGCTGCTGGGCACTGCACCCCATGGCTTCTCCCCTTAATCCTTGGCTCCTCCCAGCACCTCAGGGCTCTCAAGCCTCCTGTGCAACAAATACTCCTTTCCACACTGCAGTTTCCCAGCAGGGTCCAGTCTCCCAGATCACCCATCCCAAAGGAGGCACTCCTCCATGCCCACCCACCCAGCCCAATGATCAACGCTCCTGAGTCCTGTGACTGCCATGCTCCCCCAGAACCCACGTGGCCTCCTCAAAAATGCCTACACTTGGAACACATAAGTGTTTTAGCCCTTTGTGGATTTGTATTCCATTCATCTATGGCACTTGAACCTTACAAAACAAAGAGCATAACTTCTGGAAAGGAGGTTCTATTGTGAACTGAAGAGATACTCTCCAGAGTCCATCTGCAAGCTGAAATCCCCCAAGCTTCACTGGACTCTGGATTCCTCTCATGCATAACTAGATTGCACTTTAACAGTCTCTGAAGTTCACATGGGCTTATCCTTCTTGTCCCTACTTCCAAGTTCCTGCAAAGCCCTCAGTAAATAATAAACAAGTTTCAGGACATTATTTTAGCCTATCCTCCTGGCAGTGACCCACACATGAACAGAAACTCCATCTGTAGCTACTCATGCAGAAAATAGGGTGTCCTGCAGTTCTCTGTGTCCAAGCTTGTATAACTCCTTCTCTAAAGCAACATTTATTTAAGAGATGGGTGGCTACATTAAAACTTTTTCTGAAGCATCAAATTAACCAAATTAAAGGCAGGCTTTATTCTTCAGTAGGAACATTCTGTTTTCAGCAATGCCCTTGCCACATTTGCAGGCGGCATACCTTGATCACTGTACCTAGCCAGATCCTTCTGGCTGATGTAAAGGTCATGGTCAGTATCCAGCTCCCAGAATTTGCAGTATATGACATAAAAGTGCTCATAGGAGAAGTAATCTGTGATCTGATTTATGTCATCCTCTTCTTCCAAGAGAGCAAGAGTCTGAAAGAGTACAAATACAGTGGGAAGTTAAAGCTGGATGAAGAGGCAGCTCAGCAGCTGAAGTGCTCCAGTTTCTCAGGAAGCTGGGTGAACACAGCCCTGAGAACTAACCCGAACTGCAGCCTTTCCCCAAGACATGTGATTGCTGTATTCCTTAGCAGACACTTACAGAGCACCTGGCTTGGCCATCCTGCTTAGCACAACATCTCTGCCACTCCTGTTAAAATTTTTTGCTCATTTTCAGCTCTAATGAAGAGTGAGGCAGAGAAACAGGAACACAAACTGCTGTGTCAGCTGGCACCCATGGTCTGGGAAACAATCCTGACCTGCACCAGAGACTCTTAGAGCCACTTCCACAGTCTTCCACAGAACCTGAGGTATGTCTTTACACATCACACATCCCTGTCTGCCTCCTGAAGGGCAAAATCAACTCTTGTTCCAAACTCACACCTGGACTGGGACAGGAGGGATGGACCCCAAACTAATCACACTGACTTCCCTGTGCTGTTGCAGGAATCATCCTGGTTTAACTGGGAGGCTCAACCATAAACATCTGTGACATGTCTTACTAGGAAACATTTCGTGCTAACATCCATGTTTCATTCCCACCTTACACCTCCCTGTTCTTCCTAGCAACAAGAGGGCATTTGCAAATTTCCCACCTCCCTACTTTTCTTCTTGGTGCTGAGGCCATGAGACACCAGAAGCCTTCTTGTCTAAGAAATAATGGCTTCAGTGAGATGCAGGCCTGGCCCCTCCTGCCCTCACAGCCTCTCCCAAGGGAGCAGGCAAAACACAGCCTGAGCTATCCCAGGGAATGGTGTCCCCAGGCAGGCAGACTGACTGGCCCTGCTACCCATAACCATAAAATAGATGCTGTGCTATGTGTTGGCACTGGCATTTCAATATCAACTTCCAGCCACCTCCACATCCAAGGAATCCAACTGAATCCAAAGAAAACTCTCACATCCTGCTATCCACCAGGTTCAGTGACATTCTGGTAGAGATAACAGGATGGCATTGTGAGACCTGCACTATTATGACTTGCTGACATCCACGTCTCAACACCTTTGATCCATCACCCACTGGCCTCTCCAGATTGTGTCTGTCTCTCTCTTTACAGATGACAATCACTAGGGAGCTTTTTTTGCCATAACTATTTTTTTTCTTTTGTAGATCACAACCAAAGATGCCATTTAGACATGCAGCAAGAAGCTGTACTTCCCTGCTGCAGGAGATGAAAGGCAGAGTAGATATGAAAGAAGAAAAAATGAGAGAATGTTTAAAGGGTGAAAATGAATGAATAAAGATGCAGGATAATCCAGGAAGATTTATTTGTAACAGAGGTTGGAAAGGAACAGGGATTCTAGAGCTTGGACTGGCATGAACCAATTCAAAGGAGCACTCATTTTTCCATTTGCTGATGGGGTCAAGTAGGGGAGATGATGTCTGAAAAGAGAAAGAATGTGAATTCATACTTGAGGGGTTTGAGGAAAACAGCACACTACACCTGAAAGGACACAGGAGGGAAATAGGGAAATCTCACTGTTTTAGCCAGTCCTTCATCTTTCAGCTCAAGATTTTGTGGCTCTTTAGGTTGGGCTGGACATGAGCAGCCTGAGACAGTCTTAACCTGGTGCTCTTCCAGGCAAAACACACAGAGGACAGAGATCCAAATCCTGACATAAGGACACACTGCAGGCACTGGAACAAGAACTAAGCTCCATTCATTATCCTGTGGAGATCAGCTCCTGAGGTGCCTCATCCTGCAATTGCAGAGATATTCCTGACCAGCTGTCAGTGGGCTGAGGGCTGCCTAGAAGGCAGGAAATTGGCTCTCCTACCCCTACCACTCCTGCAGCTCTTCTTGGCTGCTTGTGAGCCACTTCATACGGGTGCAATGCCATGTCCTGCTTCCCTTTCCTGCTGTCTGGACCAGGAGTCAGGCTGCTGCTCCATGCAGCCTCAGCAAGAAAACAGTCATGCCATGATCTTCTCTCAGTGCCCTGGGGCCATTCTTGTCCTTGCACTTCTCACCTCAACTCAGACACAGCTCCTCCAGTAGCCCCTGCAGACTCCTGGACTGAGCACCTGGCTCATCCCACTGCAGCCCAGGTGCAGCTCCCTCACCACTCAGTCACAGGAACAAGGAATGCTGCTGCACTCTGGATCCTGCTCCCACAGAAACCCACGTACTTGCAGGAAGTTGCTTTTCCTCAGCTCTGTGAGAGTGATCTTCCCCGACCAGGATCGATTGACTGTGTAGAATATCCTCTGGATAACCTGCAACAAATGAACACTGCTCTTGAAATCAACTCCTGAAACACAGCAGTCTGGGAACTTAATCACAGTACCTTGGTTTATTAACTCATCCTGAGGAGACCTCTTTTTAAAAACTGTTTTGGGATCTTTTCTGTAGATACTACTATCCTTAACTGACTACACAGTCTGAAAGCAACATTGGCTTCTTAAACAGTATTATCCCTTTCCAGTGTGTGAATATTTTTACTGTTCTAAATCAACCTCTTTGGGCAGGCAGATGTATTACTTATGTCAGGAAACAGGCTCAAAGTGCTGATGAATTGCTTTGAGTTTTTCACGTTTAAGGGGATGTAGTTTGCATGGATCCCCAGTGAAATAGGGTTCTAGGGGAGGAAAAAAAATACTTCTGATTTTTCTGGTTCCTGCAGAGGAAGCAACACATGTAAATGAAAGACACAGCGAATGCCTGACCCATTGTAACTACAACAATGCCTCGTGTTCCCAGTACCTCTCCTGAAAGTAAGCAGGAGAGGTTCTGTTTGCAATTATTTTGGGCAGGTGTTAAACTTGTTTGGCTCCTTTCCAGATCTGCCTCTGGTGAAAGTGAGCAAAAAATCATGGGGGGAGGCACAGAACTCTCAGCCAAAAGTAAACAGCTCCCAGTGTAAGACTGAGCTCACTCTCAAGCTCCTCAAAAAAGCAAACAGCCCTTCTCAATCTGCTCCTTGTCAGCTGTCAAGTAACATCACAGAGTGGGGAAAAACAAATGTGTGACCAAGCACATGCAAGAATAAACCTAACAGGGCAAACAACAACAAATAAATATCACTGGCATGAGAAAGGAGGAATAGAATTGACTTATCAGCACTGAAATTTTGTTGACCAAACCTACTGCAAACCTTTGATGTCTCTAACATGTAAGCACATTGGTAACCTTTAGTGCACACTATTCCAACACAAAAATTAACTTTACACAATAATGTCCACATACAGGGATTCATCAAGCTAGCAGATTAAAGGGATGGATTTCTCTTTTAGCCAGAACTAGTTTCAAGTGGGCAACCACTACTGAAGGGCCATCTTTGGACTCAGTCACACAAGTGCTGGTTCTTGGTCCAGAACAAATCCAGAACAAGTATGAGATTGCTCCCAGCAATCTGCTTTGAGATAGACAGTGAGACAGCAATTGATGATGGCACACAGAACTCTGGGAGCAACACGAATGATGAGAGGATTCAAATGTATCCTAAAGAGACAGAATGATTGATTCAACTTAGCTGAACATGACACCTTTTGGTAATACTGCAGGCCCTTCATCACTCCAGGCCTAAGAGGTGGATATCCTTTTAAAGTTGGGTGTCATTTCAATTAAAAACAGACCAAAAACCAGATCTATACTAACTGTAGCAACCACTGAGCAATGTTCTGTGGTCTCTGAAGCACAAGATGTCAGATTAGGTAATCATAATGATTCCTTTCTGGTCTTAAGCACAGTGTTTGTTTCTTCTTTCATGCCTCTGGTAGTCACTGTCATTCTGGACTTTGGCTTTTGCTTCCAGCTTGCACAAGAGCTCAGAGGCTGGAGTGGTCTCACCTCGCTCATCACCCATTATCACACCTGACAACTTTGTAGCAACTCTTAAAAATACAGGGCATTCACACCATTCCAAGGACTCAAAAACAGCAATCCCAAGAATCAGAAACAGGACTCCATACTGGTAATTCTTCTTCTCCCCTGCCTGTAGGATAGTAGAAGACAACAAACTATTCCCATTTGTGACACAAACTGTTTGTCTACCAGACCACATTGATAAAGGTTCCATCTGCTCCCACCTCACCTATCTGAAAAAAAACCTATTCAGAGGTAAAATGGGATGTCTTTTCACATCTCTCATCATGTCTAGTCACTCAGTGAAGGCTTTATTACTCAAATAATGGCCCAGTTTCCACAGACAGTACATAGTATATATCTCACTATAAAGTCTCGGTACTTATCTTTTT